ATCGATAGATATGCACTGCTGATGATACCCCATCAAGTCGAAACAGCTGTCCACTACTTCTAAGCTTTACAATTCACGTTTCATTTGTTCCTTACACTAGGAAGTTCATTATTTAATTGAATCAAATTCTTTAACACTTTAATTTAGTTGCCGAATATGTTTCATAGAACCGTCTGAGGGGGGGGGCAGATTTGTATTTGATCATTTCTCCCTTGGTTGCATGGTTTTAGTTTTCATGAGGAAAATATCTCTCAAAAGAAACAGGAATGGTTGGAAAACTCCAAGATTATTACTAAGAGCTGAAAATAAACTGTCTGCATACATGAGGGGGAATTATTTTCTCATTGTTTCACTGCTTCTCGAAATTCAGTTAACACGGAATCTTTGAACTGGATCACAATCGAACTATTTAGCATAGTTTTGGGAAATCGATTCAAACAGTTTGGAAGCAAGTTTCCGATTTTGTTTGGAAAGCACCTCGGAATTTGGTGTGGTCTATCTTTGCAGGTCAAACAATTTCGGTGCCATCTCAGTCGTACGCAATTGTGACAATACGTGCAAATTACTCTATCCAACGAGTACAGAAGGACACTGACAAATATCCAAAATGAGTGTAACAATTCGGTTGGTTGTATCAAATCACAGAGACGAAACAAAAGAGACCCATACAGCGTCACAATTTGGTTCATTGCTATGTGTACCAAACGCAAATGACCTCGTTTTATCTGTGCCGTCATTTGTAAAGCACTTGATACCGAGCGGCATGAAATCAATTTCCATTAAAACTACTTCAAGAGTAATTAGTTTGAATCAAAATAATTAGATTGAAGTAAACGGTTTGTCATTTACGGAATATGCCTAAATGTTTTCAGTGACTTTACTCCAAACACACTAAAACCACCACTATCTTAATGAAATAAAATTTGGCAGAGAAAAATTTAGAATTGTGGCAGATATGCCAGTACAGGCGAAAATCAACCGACGTTTTGGTTACCATGGATAATCTTTATCAAGGCGTTTTTACAATCGATTGTTCAATGGCCTTGATAAAGGTTACCCAAGGTAACCAAAACGTTGGCTTATTTTCATCCTTACCGACATCACTGTATTTTCGCAACTACAACTTATATAAAATATACCACATGGTGCATCGATTTTTCGATACACTCTGAACGTCGTTCGGATCTGAAACTGTCTAAGATATCCTTGTAATTTAATCTACGGGGTAGCAATAGAATCAATCTGTTGTGAGAAATCATGAATTATTCTGCATGTTAGCATTTCTTATTTGAAGAGAAATGGCTAAGATGTCTACAAATATGATTTCTGTGTCAATAGAATAACCAACGTAATCAACTAGTTCAACCTAGAAGTATCGGTAGGCGAGGAATGGCACACAAAAAGCATGCTCCCATTAATAAAATTGTGGTTTACCTCTAAAAATCGCTTCGAAAATTGATTCTGCGAAAGAAATTATTTTCCTAAAACCCCAGGTCATACTCACTAGGAAGTAACTTAGGAATTAGGTATTTCAACATTAGTCCATCATTCGCTTGGAGATCTTACGTGTCTAACTGGGAGTGAGAATATGAATGGAATTAAGTTATGCCATCAAACCAAAGCATATCTGCATTTCTGCAAAATATGTAAAACATAGATTTGTATCCAACGCAGTTACAGTGCGCAAGTTGGTTGTTTCTTAACGCAAATCTGGTGCACTTACACTACCAAATGCATGCATGAATTATAACCTTTGTTTGTGAAGGAATGTAGCACACATAATGTTCTTTGTTCATTTGCTTATTTTATGACCTATTGATCTTCTGAAGAATTGGTGGCATTTCTTCGCTTTTTATTAAATAATCTCCGATACCGTAGTTATTGTACCTGTGAGATAAATTAAAAAAAACCTTTTCTTACTGATACAGTGAATAAAAAATTGCCGGTAACTACCAAATGCAATTGATCTTGATTTGTGCTGACATTCACTATGCTCGTGTTTTCGCACTTTCTCATCACTCAACTGCGCACTGGGAGATCAATACGATTCTGGCTGAACGGGACGAATTGTATGAAATACTTCGAGTGAACGAGGAGATGGACAGTGCTCGATTTGCAAACACCCAAGCATTGATCCATTTCAAGCAAGATAGTGCCAATGAACAACAACGTTTACGTCAGCGCATTGCTGCACTGGAAGAGGTTTGTTTAGCCCCCTGGCGTGGTCTTGCTAACTGTTGCAGCTATTTCCATGGCGTTTCATGGCAGCAAAATATATAGGAAACAATTTGTTATTACTAATATTTAGTTTAGGTTAAGTTAACTCAAAATAGACTTGATGCATCCAACAAGATGAATATTTAGCGTTTTCCTCCTAATGCGGTGACAAACATTTGCATGAAATGAGTGGGAGGTGGCAAAACAGTCGTTTGTAATCACAAGGAAAATACTAACGCGGTAGGCCATTTATCCAGTACATGATGACGTATTTAGCTGTTTTTCCTAAGATAAAAATAAAGGTAAGAGATGACACCATTTCGGTAAATAGTAGCACTGATGGGAAGAAGTTTAAATTTGCAACGAGAACCTGTACAAGATTCACATACACTTATTATGATAACAATGTTGTAAAACTGTCTCATGCTTAATGCAGACTGTTAGGGAATCTCAGTCTCCCAATTTGGGGCAATCGATAAATTGTTCTTACCATTTAAAAACGCAAATCAACTCTCTACCGATTCTTGTTATATTGAATCACAGTAACTGACACATTCAAACCATAATGCGACTACAGAATATGTGTCACATTTAATTTGAAAAATGGAGTGTAATAGCTAAATTAAGGGCATATCTATTGACCCACCAGAGCTGAATTGAAGTGGTAAAGTTCTTCTAATTGAAACCATCAGGTTGTTTGCCCTCGCAATCTTGAGGCAATACACACGCGTTCATCGTGGGGAGGTGTCCAAGTGTTGTGTTTAGTCTCGAAATACTTCCATTGAAATTACTTCCAATGTACCGCCCAGTGGTAGAATTAGAATACCCATCTTGAGATCCCCTTAGTGATTTGGTTGATGAATGCCAAATCTTTTGGCTAGATGCAATGAAAAATATGAAAGCCATTTGAAATACTCATTTTTCAAATCCGATTACTTATTAGCTGTCTGAGTATTTTACAGAGAGAGTGAAATGCAGAAAATCATTGGTCAAAATCTTTGAAGTGCTTCAACGTGATGTTCACTTCCATTTTATCTTCTTCCATGAAAGTTTGTCAGCCTGTTTACTGCTCAGGTTTTATGGTATGCAAGTTTCACAGCCACCATCTCCAATGATGATCATACAACCAGTAGTATTAGCATTATAGCTCACACGCCTGGACTGAATAAACTATCCAGGAATAGCCATTCACAAAACCTCTGATGAACTCCACAGATTTAGTTATGCATTGGCCAACCCCGACGACTATCGTTTTATGTTTTTGGGCTTAGACAATCCCATAGCCTATTATCCTTACGTATGTATCCCACGTTTTCCATCCCAGTTTTCCTGTAATTCTCCCAGGCCTTCTGAAATAAGATTTAAAGATACTACTGCCGATTAATCTTATGAGCAGCAGCCTTAGTGACCTTACTCAATTCAGGGGTTTGACCAGGAAGCCGATTAATGATCACATTGCATGTTGGACCAACTTCTAATAACATTCATCCGTTCCACTCCTACCTATCATCCTGCCACTCCCACACGTTTCAGGTACCAGTAGGTCACCGCAAACAGAAGCAATACAAGGAATCATATTGTTTCGTATATTGCTTGCACGTCAACGTCCAGAGAGAATGCAGTGAATAAACTGTGCTAGAATCTTGGTGGATAAATTTTATTTTCGAACATCTTGAGCATATTTGAATTATTTAAAATGAAGAAGAAGCAGAACCGAAATGCTTTTGGTGGAGACGTTCCAATTATCTCAGAAGACATTTTCAAATCAATTTATAAGCGAACATTTGCTCGGTTACCACTATGTTATCCTAGTGTATGCGCCTGGTTAACCCATGCCTACTGCCATCAACCGCTCGTGGCATGGGTCTCCGTCGATTCAAATGATTCTTCAGCCCATCAACGATAGCCTAATAAGCAGCGCTGTTGACAGTGATTGCGTGGTTGAATGAGGCGCACACTTGGGCTAACTGCGGGGCTGCGCTAACTGTCGATTAGCGCGGTGTGGGCACGAAATATACCGTATGCATCATGCTTGTGCAACCACTGGCACGCCGCGGACCTTGATTCCCTTCGAAGTAATACAAGCTAATCGCGATGTTTGCTTCGAGAAGTGAATAGTAATCGTAAACAATTTGGTACGATCATGCTTGTAATCTGAAATTCGCACGGAGCTTAATTCTGAAATCATTCTTATGGTATGAAGTATCGTTCTGGAATGGATTATGTTCAGTCTCATTGGAAAAACCAATTTGGTACTGATGCATGTGTAACTCCCATTTCTACGACTTTCGCTTATCCTAGCAGTGGTGGTTGTCATGACTACACAAATCAACTGCTTAAATTTATTGGAAACATAAAATGGTGCACATTCTTCTGGTGTTAAGTTTGGTGGAGTTTCCGGATTTACCATAAGTGAAGGTATAACCAACTTGGTGTACATGAGCCAAGCTTGAGGTTATTCATGAAAATCTCATCAAATCTTAAGGAATTCTAATACATCAAGGGGCACATTACACCGTGTTTCGGTTGCATTTTACCGGTCATTCTGCTAACGGAGATAAATAAAAGTCTCTTCTATCAGCATGGAAAATATTGTTCCTGATGCCACTAAATCAGTGATAACATGACTGCTTGTCTTGGATTCCTGAAAAAGTGGAGCCCAGCATAGCGGTAAAAGATGCTCCTTTAGGGAATGTGTAAAAAGTTGGCTATTTGATCCATCTCCATAATTAATGTTTAAAAGCAAAAATAACACAAGGCAAGAATGATTCACCGAGATATTTTGCTATTATTTATTTATATCAGGAACTTGAGGAGAGTATGTGTCGAATAAATCAGATGAACACGGAACACAGCGAACTGAAGGACCGCATGCTGAAATTGCAAGGGGAACGTGAGAATTTGGAGCATCAGTTGGAATCCACCAGACAAAAATGTGACCGAGAATTGGTTGCCGCAAAAGAGGTGAGTGAGGTGGGCAGTGTTTAACAACATAAAGAAACCACTTCTAAGAGATCTAAGCTTGATTTACACATTCTGAATTCACAGTTCACATGGGCATAGTGTAGCATTGGCAGTAGTACTAATAGTGGTTATTGTAGTATTCGTCACGTTAAAAAGTGTTAAAAAACAATCAATTTTTGATGTACTTTTTCAGGAGTATGCGGAACGTGAAAAACAAATTATTGAAAGTGAGAGAATGACCATCGGGAAACTTCAGTCCAATTGTGTGGAACAGGCAGCGAAAGAGGTAGAGATGAAGCGTGAAGTGGAAGATTTGCACCGCAAGTTGTTGAGCTTACAGTGCGACCTGGAAAAATTACGGTAAATCTCATTACAAAACAGTTATTCAATACTTCATTTTTTATATCAAGGACCATTCACCTATAGGAAGCAATTTTTAAAGACGAATCTTTTTTAAAATATTGATTGGCATTGTTAAAGAAATAACTCTTGAAGAAAACGGTACATTGGTTTGTTTAATATCGCCTGTAGTCAAAAGTCATCGATAAAAATGCTTTCTAGCACGGCAGTGCGCTGGCTATACGAACAAGCATAGTTAAGTCAGTGCACCCTGATTTACAGGTCTAATCGAGACCGAAGAAACGGGTCCATATGAAACACTTGAGGGTTCATAAAGGCAAAAAAAATTTATGCTGAAGTAAATATTATTTCCAAATAACAATAAACAAGTCTTGATGAGTCTTTAGAGCAGTGATCTTTGTGATTAGTTTATACCCCGCAGATAGAATTGTTCAGAATGTAGCGGATAATCCCGGTTCTTCAGTGGTGGTTGACCTGGACTGTGATGAGTTAGGAGCTAACTAAAGAGAACAAAACAATTTTTATTTATAAAAATTAGTATTGATAATGTTTAAGATGCAAAATTTATGTACACTAATAGTCGATTGGCCTGCCTTTATTCTTTAGAACTTTTTCAAGTCTCCTCGGCATCGAATCTACCGACTTTGTTATGAATTCATTCTCTATTTTGTGCTACATTACATGTTACACTTATGCCTCCTCTAATGCACAATGTCTCTTGGCGACTAAGGTCACGCACGTTTAATTGAAAATCGAGCAGCTTAGAAACTAAGTAGGTCGAAGTAAACTGGGGAAAACTTATTGTTCATATCTAAAGTGATGAGATAGTTGATAAATTTAATAAAAATGGCTTCAGTCAAAAAGAAACTATTTTAGTGCATCACAATCGAACACCATTGTACTTTCAGAATATAGAATAAACGCTATCAAATGTCATATTTAATGACGTTCTTCAGACAACGACAGACTGTCTGATATACTAGTTCTCATCGAAGCCCTATTGCGACCGGGTAACAAAAATGTGGCTTCTGAGAACGGGTCTAGACATTTTAGGCATTTAGCAAATAGATCTAAAACGTTTCGGTACTTTGGTTCGAATGTCAATGGGTTTGGTCTACGTGCAATGCTGACAATGGTCAGAAAAGGTAAAACTACATGCAATAACTTAGAGGTCCTTAAGATGCAATTGCTTCCGCATGACCTTGTGTTTATTTTATAACAATACTTATCGGAATAGAATATTCATATATCGTAAAGATTTATCAAAAATCCTCTTATGGTTCAGGCCAAAGTAAAAATTTTTCCGCGCACGAAATAAAATTGTTATTTCGATAATTTTTTCCTTCCTATGTATTTCGAAAACTCTGTGTGATAAGGTTTGGGAGATTCTAACTATCTATTCAGCTGGGGTGAGGCCCCTTAATGCGTTATCCCGAATTGTGATCTGTAAATACGGTGAACCCATGATGGAGACAGAAACGGATAATAGTATCGTTTAGTAAACCGCATTGTAAATTTTCGATACATCGACGTATATGTACCAAGTAAATTCCAGCTTCTGATCAGAAACGGTTTAGATTGGTTTGTGCGTCTGTTCTTCCAAATCAAAAAGTTCGTTAAATGCGGACCACGGGAGTTTAGCTCTTTTTGACGTGCAGGCAGTAGTAAAAAGCTGCAGTAATTGAGTGTACTTTGCAGGGGTTTGTTTGGCAAACAAATACACCTTTTTAGAAAAGGGACGGCGTCTTCTCATTCTGAGGAAGCCATGGGGATTTGTTCAATGTCGAGTATACAAGAATAAGTGGTACTACTGAGGAATGGAGAGTTGAACTACCTGCTGGACTTGATTTGTCTGAGCTTCATGCCTCAGAAAAGGGATAACCGAAATCATTTGTATTTACGCTGTGCTATGATGAAACTACTGTACTGTAAAGGATTTTAGCGAAACGCAAAAGGTACATGAAATCGTAAATACATAACAGTTCATCGGACAATCAAGTGCAACACTGAACAAGACTTGATAGACGGCAAAAGTTTAACAGAACAGCATATTCAAAGAAACATTGGATGAGAGAAAATACAGACAATTTACTTCATCCTTGGTTGTAGGCTCTAATTAGCGACACGAAAGTGTGTTAGTGATGGTTGACGTGTGAAATAGGGATACAGCCTGCCTGAGATATGGTTGTAGATGAGTGTATCGTTGTGGAAGGAAGACTTCAGATGCTCTCCTTGATATTGGTAGTGGAGCGAAAATGCCAAGAACTAATTAGTAAGGGTACCATGCATGGCCCGTTGTGAATGATCAGTATGTGATATATATCTATTACCGCGCGATCGGGTCTGCCGTTCCGCACAAGAAGCGCACACTATATTTTAACACACTTCAGGCATCTAGATAAACCAGTTGCAATTACTTGATATCAGACAATGCACATAATTGTTGCCACTACTACGTGATTGGCTAGTGCGTTGGCCTCTGCGTCTGAAGTGATAGTGATGTAATTGGTAGATGTAAGTACTGCAAGTCTGATAAAATTGGGTAGGCACTGTGTACGCGGTGCGATAGTTGCTCCCACTCAATCTGTCGCGTTCTTCTGAGATAAACAAAACATTTCGGTATTTTACCTGTTTTTTCTTGTTAACCCGATTTTGGTTAAACATCAATACAGACTAATTGATTCGACGCAATGGATAAAACATTCGAAGTGGTATGGGGAGCACTTTAAAGACATATTGAACATTTTCAAGGTGATTGTATTTGAGTAAAGGAGAGGATAGTCACAGGCAGAACATTGATTATTGTATTCAGGAGCTGCTCTAAGTTTACGTTTTGTCCAAATCAAGGTCATATTTTAATTTCATTGACCCACGAGCATCTTCTTTTCTTTATAATTCAAGTCTAATTTGAACCCAAAGGCGGGAACCTTTTTCCTAATGACTGGAAATATCCTTGATTTGGGGTTTATGCGCCTATTCTGCGTCCGATTTACAGATTAATATTAATAATGTTCATCCACCATCACTAATTTCATGAAAATGGTGTTCTGAAAAGTTATGACTTGCCTAATGTCCAACTATAAACGAGTGATCCTAAATTTTCAATTCCTAGTTCTATGGCCCTAATTGAATCCATTATGAACCGTTAACCTTTCAGTACAGAAAATACAAATCTGATCTTTCAACAGAGTGAAAAAGAAAGGTTATGGACTGACAATCATGAGGCTGCTATTCGTCAGAAAATATTAGAAAAAGTAAGTTGCAGACCATCGGAAGAATTCTGCGCTTCAAGTACTGTGTTCATCGTACACAAATCTTTCATTCTTAAATCAAATAGAGAACGGAAAGAAATTTCCTTTTGGTAAATCACCTCAGGAATTTGCACATATACCTCGATTGTTGAATAGATCACCGAATGTTCGAAGCTGCTGTTGCAGGACTGTATATGTATATATGTATGTATGAATGCACGTATGTATGTGTGGGGAAAAGAAATGAACAGGAAAAGCAGAGAGAAAATGTGTATCAAATATTTAAATAAAAAAACGCATCAGTCTGGAATAAATAACACAGTTATCTGAGTGTGAATCAAAAGTTAATAAATGAGAGGAATGAAAAATGAGGCCGGTCTCTAGAGAGAAGTATGGGACAACTAATTTATGGTTATGGTAATAGGTAGCGCTCTGATCAGACCACGGTCGGCGCACAATTTTGACATCACAATCCTATATTCCATGATTTTGCACTCGTCAGTACCTTCTGACGCAATCCTTTGGTGTGGTCGTTGGTTACTGTGAATAAACTTGTAAACATTGTACATGGGTCAGTCCTTTGTCTACTGTTGGGTGGATGTTGAATAATTGAGTTCAAGTTCTTGGTTGCAACTTCTCGATAAGTGGATGGAAAATACTCATACATTCTCATAGACTTACCCATCGTAGTGTGCTCAATATAACGAACACTACAAGTACAAGTAAACTGATAAGGAGAAACCATTCGGATGGAGGAGGCAGTCTATCCTTAACATATTCAACAATCGCTTAGTTGTTCTTCGCTGCGACTCTCATATGTGCCGCGAAAATTAGGTAGCGATGACATTGAACGTACAATATTTCACGATTTCTATTAGTCTATTCCCTTTGAGTAGAATAGGCGAGAATGGTTCTTCCTTTTCAACTATCTGTACTCATATATATATATATATATCCCTGAGACAAATCATATTCAAGAAGATCCAAGTTGAAAAATTTGGTTTCAAGCCCCCAATTGATCCAAAACAAAGGTCTGAGATTTGTGATTGTCAATTGTGTCTGACGTATTTGATAACCAAAATATCCACTTGGGCCTATTAGAATTTGACCTTTTTGGGTATATATCCACAACAAAGATCATTTGTATTGAATTTTTCCCACATAGAAGTCGGGACACATGTAAAACACAGTGTTTAACATTTTATGTTAATACAAATTCTAAGGAAAATTTTGAAACTGCGTGGGGCAGGAACCTTCTAAGAGACAGCATGCTGTTACGTGGAGGGTTCCAGAGACAAAAGTTAGTTAGGTTTGTTTGTAAGAGTAAAAAATGACAGGGAGAAGATCTTAGTTTTTGAGAGAAACAGACCGCAGCAAGAGGATTGAAGTAGAGAAATGTGGAATGATTGGAGTTAATTGCATCATAAAACCCAATTACCTGCACCAGAAGAATCACACTAATTAGTCATACAAAATACAGGGACAGATTAGGTTGAAGCACAGTTAAAATCACTCAAAATAATGTGCAAATTGTCTTCTGGTAGAGGATTAAGGAAGTATGAAAATGAGTCAAGGAAAAACGCAGTAATGTTTGTGTGCAAACCAGAACTTTATAATTGCCTTTGTTTAACAGGTATCTTTATGCTTAGATAATTAAGAACAACACAAAAAAGATACACAATCAATATCGTTGCGTGAGTACAAGTAAATTATTTCGAATCCACCGCATGGGGACTTTTTGTGTAGGAAACCCAAACACCCGGTTTTCTTATTTCTGAATACTCTGTCCTGTCATCACAAACTGAACCCACCAATACACGCAAGTTTACACAACATGCGATTTAAGTTAGGATGTTTAATTTCAATCATATAAGCATGGGTGTGATACAGAGAAGCAAGAACGTATGAGTGCCTTTGGTTTTTGGTGAATACAGAACGTATGTAGGCATCCGACAATGACAGGACGGATGATTAAGACGGCAGATTGCAGTTGAGAGTAACCTACCAGCCAGTCAGCACGAGTGATATTTTTGAGAATAACCTCAAGATTGTCCGAGCAAAATTCATTCTGATGCTGCATAAGGAGAAAAAGGTGGCCATAATGAAACCACATCCTTCAGTTTGATGGAATTTTAATACTCCGATAACTAAGGAATACTTGTGCATGTGTAAACAGGTGTGAATAATCAATTCGTACGAGACAAATGAATTTGAAGTCACAATATTCTACACATTATTGTTTGAATCCAATTCAATGTGAAACATTTTCGGCCTTAAATTGTTATAAAATTCTGTTGGCTAAAGTGTGTTCATTCCTGCTCCATTCGTCTTACCATGGAAATAACGCATCACCGAGAGTTGTGGAAGTATGCATCTCTTAAGATGATAGAGAGCTATACAAACTTTGCATGATAGATAAAATAGAAAACTGTTAATGCCATTGCGCACCAGGGGTCAAGAGTAGAGTAACTTCGCCTGCTCTGTGAAATCTAGAGCAATGTAAACATTAACTGAAAAAAATTGGGATGATCTTACAGTAAAACGAACCTTGATGGGCTTCATCGAAAATTTTGAAACAGTTTCATCAAGTACCCGGTGATCTAAAGTATGTAGTGATATGACTCATTATTGAGTCGATGCATTGAAGTGGACAAATAGACCCAGAAGCTTAGAAACAGCTTCACATTGAAAGTATTAGGCTTGGATTTGCTCATTTGATACACCCTTGATGGTCTCGTGTGTGAGTTTCAATTTCGAGAGATCGTATATTCCTTAATAGGTAAATGTATTCAAATGCAATGGACAATGTTTGTGATGACCGACAAAAAGCACTGGACAGCTGTTTCGTTTTGTTAGGGACTCGTTAGCAGTGTGTACTTTTTGTTTGCCTGTCAGGATTGGAACTGCGAACATTTGGGTCGGAACTACAAACGCTTACCGTTAAGTTACCCGGTCGATGGTTATCACAATCCAATGGGTTAATCCAAGCTTGATACTCTGAATTGATAGAGCCATTCGCACACGGTTATGACCACCGTCCGTTTAGCATTCCGTTACTTTCAAGCAAGCCAAAGAATGTTTCTTTTTTCTTTGAACGACAAATTTTATTATTAAATTGGATAAAGTTCTTCACTTTTCTGTTGTCACAATGAAAAATGATCAGATGCGGTGAATTTGCAAGCCATTGAAGAATCCTTTAAAAGTGCAAGTTTGGCAAACATTTAAAGATCGGAGTCTGCAAGCCGTGTGCGTCCAGAATGCGCTATTCTTTCTAATAAACTTTACCAATGACTGAAAACAAGTAACTGTGTTGCATTAATCAGTCTGGGAACGTTTAAAGTAACCGGTAATCCTAATTCTGTGTTAATCTTCAGGATGCGGAAATTATTCAATTGAACGAAAAACACATGCGTGAGATCGCGGATCTGTCCGAACGCTTCGCTCGGGATGGAAAAGAATCTGCCAGCGAAATCCGGTCGTGTTACATGGAACGCGTTGTTGAACTTCAAAAAATGCTGGAGGTGAATGAATAAACTCTTTATTTTATGTTTCGAGGTAACACATTAAAAACTTAGTCCAGCTTGATGCACCTTTTGAGTGAAGAATATATAATCTAAATAGTTGATTTGTGATTTTACTGAGTGCTATCAATGAAAAATCGTTTGAAAATTATGTATATTCAATCAACCATGTTGTTTCTTTTGCAAGCATTGGCTGAGTAAATTTCTATGGGTAATCAATGAGTGTTTTCGTCCACTTTTTCAGGATTGCCTCAGTTACGTTGCACCTATTTTTCCTCTGATCTGAGTTTCATTTTGGAGGACTTGGAGACATTTTGCGTACCAATTGGTGAAAGCTCACAAACCTTCTTGGAGTTTGAACTCACGCTTGGATGTTGCTCATGTAAAATCACCAGCCGAACTACAAGGTTTTGAATAACGCTGTAATTAGTTCACAAGCGGTCCGCTCTTTCAGCTTGCAGATATTTTTGGAATACAATCATTGGTATGAAAACCGATTATCATGCCCGCTTTTTTCAGCATTAAATAGAGACCACGGGAATAATTTAAAGCTACGGCACTTTGATCAGATATTATCTTTTGCCAGCATCGGCCATTTTCTACTCGTTCAATTGGGAAAACATTACGAGCCTCGACCTCAAGCATGGACCTCAGTTACGCGTATGTACAGCGTATGATATACCAGCGTATCGAAAAATAAGAATTACTAAAGCGCACAGTATTAATCAACATTTGGATGTTTTTTTGGTGGAATATGATGATCTGCTTCAGCTGAACTAAGAGTCATCAGTTTGGGGTTGATGGGGGTAAGGGAAGAGGTAGACGTTTAGGCGTTTTTGTGGCTACTTTGTCAATTCACGTGACCTTTCTCCATATGAAATTGATATAGGTCACATCACGCTCTGTAAATGAGATCAAAGCAGAACATAACATCTGACCTCATTTTTTTGTAACCATTGGATTGTATTGCAAAGTTTGAATGACCCAAACAAATTAGTGGAGTTTCCGTCTGTTGTGATCTAGAAATGACTGATTCGGTTGGCATACATGACTGCGGCTAGAATGATTGATTGATCGATTAACTGACTGAATGTTGACTTGACGGCATTCGCATGTCGTGCGACGCTTGAACCGGAGTCGGCCTGCCAGCCTTCCTACAAGCTGTCTGTTCCCACTCGTTCCCCGGTTTGCGAACCGGCTACATATTTGTCAATTACAATAAACGTGTTGTCCCATTCATTGTGTACTCATCTTTCTACCTAATTTGGAACACAACACTGCCATTGACTGCATTGTTATTATTCATGGGTGTTCTTTTTCAAATGAATTAATTGTCCACCTAATTGAGGATAATGTTTTTAAATACAACCGATAGGGAGTAGAGGGTGGGAGTGGGATAACTCAAAAGCTTATGCAGGTTGAAACGGGTCGTCATAATTTCAAGGTCACAAAATGAAACAAAAACGACCAAAATCAACTTTTTGATACGTAGCCAGGAAATACTAGTTATGATCTATTATGATAGACAAAAAATTACATAAGTTTTTAAAACTTCGCAGGTAAGCCAACGTGGCCTTGAGTGGCAATAAGGAGGGGGGGGGTATACATCCTTAACGTTCGCCTCTTACAGGGCAGCTGTTGAAGTGTTCAGAAATGCAAAATGAGATTTTTACACAATGAGTGTTGATTTAGAAGACAAAATATTATGCCAATCAAAAGAGTGCAGCGGGTAAGTAAGCGAGCTCTTCGAGGTACAATTAGAGAGGCCCATCGAAATCTATTCACTGCTCTTATTGTAACCCTCAAACTTTATCCACTGTCTTGTTTTATGCGTTTATGACAATGATAGCTTCGATTTTAAGAAGTAAGTTCATTGTATTAATAAATGAGAAGTTTAAAAAAAGGGAATTCTTTGTTTTGTATGATACATAAGCTTTCTTTTAGTTAATCATCTTTCAATCAAGGCTTGGTATGCTCGGTAATCTTCTGGACAGAACCGTTTTGCAAAAATAATTTTATTTACCTAGACTGTTTTCAACCTGAAATCGTTCGGTTCCGTTATAGAGAGTTGGAAGACGACACAAGGAAGGATAACTGAACGTTTTATGAACCGCAAACTGAAGCTTTAAGCAAAATTACACTTTCTGTGGTGGAACTCAAACCAGTTTACTGGGATAAAAAATTGAGCATTGAAAAGTGGCGCTTCTATGAGGATACGTCATTATTTTGGTCGGATCCGGGCCGTTAAACTTCCCCTTCTGATATGGTTTTCTCTCAGCCATGAGTCAACTATGGATTCTTTCTAACCTACATTTCTTGTCTAGGATGTTTGTTTTCTCTGTGTGAGCGTATGTTTACGTTGGCATGCATAAGAAGTGTTTGAAAAAGGTCAAAACAGCTGCAACTAGACCTGCTTGCCATGAAGTTTAAGTAGGTATTATTGATTCAGACTAACGCTGACTTCACGGCCGGAATATCTTTAGTGAATTATGATGCAACTAATGTCCTCTTTTTCACTGTATCATTAGGAACAACTAGTCCTAGCTCACTTTGCATCACTGATCTGGTTAAAGTACTTCATTCTTCGTGATGGCTTTGTCAATTTGACTTCGTAGATAGTATACTTTCCACATTTCAATACACTTCCAAACGCACAAAATGTAAAGACTGCAAAATTCTTTGTTCCGGATCCGATGTACAATGCAAGAATTATGCAAGCAATACTGCAATACGATTGGTGGAAGCCTAGATAACCAATGATCTTCTTTTGTACATATTAGTTAATTGCCTTCCTTTCTTCCAATAAACGAACTACGAAGTACTATTCTTATGACCTTTTCCTCTCTTCTTTGTCATGTGAGATATTGCGAGCTGGTGTCATTGCGGTTCAGTGCTTCCGTAATCCAGTCCGTGATAGGTGATCCTTGATTCGTGTCCTGTGGTTCGTATTACGTGGTTCGTGTTCCAAATTCCGTGCATATTACTACTACTACTACTACTACTACTACTACTACTACTACTACTACTACTACTACTAATACTACTACTACTACAATCATTACAGAGAAGCGATGAAGAGTGCACAGTTGTTCTGAGATAAACTAAATGCGATTCGTTCTAAATATGTTTTTTTTTGGGTGATCAGAACTTTCGCATTGAATAATAGACGTGTAGCATTTCATCACGCTCCACCAATCATGATTGCGAGGCATCAAACGCGGCATAACTACGTACTGATCAGTTGCGTATCTGCTAGGCGTCAGAGACAGTGAATGTTTGTAGCATCTGAAATTACACGGTCGGAATGGGTCGATGGAAATTACTGAAAAGTGATAAACTGTTGCATTATTTCAGCATGCTCTGGGGACAGGAAGACCGTCCGGCTATAAAGCTTGTTGTATACTTGTGTTATTCAATATGTCCACTGACTCATTTTTGCAGAAGCATTCCCTGATAGAAGTCTGTTTCACAGTGTTCGGTCTTTCATGAAGGTTTTCTTTAATTGTTCTGTTCAAAATTCATCGCATAGGAGTTCAACATAATGATACGAATGATATAAGACAAAGATGGGGATATAGGACAACTTTCACTGGATACTGTTGTCCGAAAATTCAATTCCAAGTTTCAGTCCAGATAAGACTTAATTTCACCTTTTGTTCAGATAAGTATTCTCCCTTATCAGTAACATATATACAGGTTTCAGATTCTGAGACTTCCCATGGTAATTCTCCTCCCCTTTCCTTCCCATCATCTCAACCGTTCTCTTACATCATCGTTGACACTTCGCACTTCTCATTTTCCTATTACTAAACTCCGTTTGACCTACTTAATTCAACAATTTGTTTACTCGGTTGACTTTCTGCGTCCATTTGAATTCATTTCTGGTTGTATTTTTTTCGTATTACGTAACCATGTCTAACTCTCTTTCCACCATTACTAATCGCTTCCCATGACGTAACTGTTTCTATGCTAACATCCCCCTCCTTCTCTTTTACCCATACTCAAATAACTTTGGTAATGACTCAACCACCCAGTGCCTTCTGCTTGACCCCATGTAATTTCAAATGTCCATATATGGTATTCTTATGATAAAAATTTGACCTATTTAATGTGTGTAGACAGCTGATTGAGAGCACGCGAAATTGATGGCCAATATCAATTCTGTTCATATTGTGTTACTTGTTATATTCAAATGGATCAAAGGTAAAGGATGTTTCCACAATTGATTGTAATGCATAAATATGCACTCACAGACATTGTTGTGAACTAATTTTAACATATGAAATTACATGAATGACATATAGATATTTATTCCTGCATAAATTGCACTCTCTTGTGATATACTCGACAGCATAAAGAATGTGAATTTGCCAACGCCCTTGCGGAATTCCGTGAATTAAATCAGAAAATGGATGAACTGTTGGCTAGAACCAATTTAAACGAACAAGAACAGCAGCAACATCAACAACACCATCAACAGCAACAGTCGATATACCAAGCGGTGATGAATAAACTAGCCGAGCTGCGACCGGTAACTACGCACAAGTGTTGCTGTCCCCCCGATGAGACAAACGAATCAGTGGAGATACTAGGAAATATGCTCCGTCAAGAATTGCAACAAGAACGTGAACGTGCAAACTCAGAAAGAAGTGAAGCGGAAAAAGTTCGAAAAGTGAGCATTGAATTTGATTTAAAAATGAATGAAATTCAGTGAATTACATGTGGTATTTCAGCGTCATACATGGTTTTAGAGTTGATCTCCCGAATCACAAAATAAGTATATAAGCGCAATGCTTCTAGTAGAAAATTGTACCATTTCTTTCTTTCTGGGGGCTCATAATTCTTAGATTAAAACCGGAGATGAAAACGACTTATTCTCGTCTTAAAAATGCACTTATATACTTATCAACGTACGATTTCAGAATTTCGAAGAATATCGCACAGATTGCGACCGAAGGTTCCTCACGTGTACCTTGGAAATCGAACGTATGAAGATGTCCCATGAAGCGGAGCTATTCAAGGTTCATTGTAAAAATGATGAGGTGAGTAAGGCTGATTTATTGAAGAAAATTTGCAGAAAAAGGTTTTCCGATACTTAATGGTAGATTAGAAAATTAAAAAGATAGTATCAACGTTTGGTTTGAAAAATCTACGTATTCCAGGTTTGTTTCTCTCATTTGTGTAAAGCTCAAGGTTACTCGTGTGTAGTAGGCCAGCAAATGAAAAAAGCGATTGGCAAAGCGCTGATAAAACGAATGCAAATGCACCTCCTCGCACTCATGCGCGGCGTGTATGCCTTCGTATGAGATGGGTTACAGGAAACAGCGATCGACTGCGGAAATGCGAATGTTATGCCCTCGAGTGATTGCATTTTCACTGCGCATCGCACAATTCTGTGTGAACACCAAAGCATACATCCACTGAACCGTGTGGCACGGTCTTGAACATTTCTTTCAATCGGTGAAAATTCCACCGTCTGATTGGATTGATATTGATATAAAGTGCTATTCATCTCTGGGTGGAAAAATACGGTGTCATAGCAACTGAATAAGGAACTCCTGTGTGCGTCTGCTTCATTCTTTGGGGAAGAAAAATTTCGGCCTGTGGCGCGCGGCATGATTAGTGAACAATATGTGGAGTTTCGATCACGTCATGTCGCTTGAACACTGGACATTGAATTATAACTGTGCAAATCAAGATTGAGGGAGCTCAGAGGACTTATGTCCTTATTGTAAATAAAGGAAGTGGGCGGGTTGCAGCAGTTATTTATTCCAATCGACAATTATAAAGATTCTGTATTCCTCCACAAGNACAAGCCGATAATAAAATAAATAAAAAGAATGAAATTTCGGTTCCTCTAAGTTTGTGGAGGCCTTCTACCCTTAATAAAACAATAGAAATGAATTTAGACACGAAAGTTCACAGAAACTCTATTCAGGGTTTCTTAGTTGGATTTTATTTCCCGAGATTCATGGATCGCTCACATGTGAATGTATTTTGAATGTTTTCGAGTTCGGTTGGGATGATCAACGAAGAGCACTAAACTGCCGTCTCGTATCTGGTGGTTTTTCTTGAAACGAAGTTGGTATTTTCCATCCTGTTAAAAATTGTAGTAAATAGGTGATAGAAGATATTTGACGGAAATATCTACGTCGCTTATAAGTTCTGGGTTTTTAGGGTAGCAGTATAGTGTGATCCAAGTTTATTTCAATCCTTTCCGTTCTGTAGAATTCATTATACAACAATCCGGATAGTTGACCCATTAAGGTATGTGTTTGGCTACCTTTGTCAAGAATACTTATCTTCATGTGTTAGCAGACCCCCATCCGGACACTAAAACTTTTAGTTGCCAGATTCCTGCTTCCTTCATGGCAAATTATACTGTTTCCATTGTGTGCAATTGCTGCTAATGAGAAATCTCTCAAACCACTTCATATGGGTTTTCTCAGTTTTGAAACGCTTCCTAGTCGGTGATCCTGATTTCTGTCACTTGAGTGACATACTCCATTGACCAAAATAAAAGTGGGTCTTTATAAGTACGTGATGCAACTCGGATAAATGGAAAAAGTGACCTGACTAATTTGGAACGAGATGCTTCCACTTAATTAAACTCTCGTATTTAGAGAAATAATGTCTTTAGTCAAATCACTATTCCATTACCATCGATGACAAGGTTACTGCTTTGCCTCACATCTAGCGAGGTGTCCTTGAATTCAGAGAAAATGCTCAGTTATCCATTAGGCAATGGCAGCATACTCACCAGCGTCATATTTTGGAGGCATATTTTGGATTCATATAAACCGATTGTTTGTTATCTGCTCTACCCAGGTTGTTAAGTGTTTCCTAAAGTGATTGGAGAGACACTCACCAGTAATTGATAAAATTAAAAATCACGAGGGTACTCGGTAAAGGAATTGCAGCAAAATTTATCAGTGCAGGATTTTGATGAACACGGTTTTGCACATTTTGATTACCATTGTTGTGAGGTGTTACTCAGTTGTGAGTAGTAGACAGCATAGCTGACAATTTATTTCAACGATCAAAAATTAACAAGATCACCGAGGGCAAATTGCTGTACCTCAAAGAATAACTATAGATTGCTACAGTCATTATCCGTTGTGTGGTCAGGAACTGCAATGGTATGGTTCTGATGAGATTTTTGTGTTATGTATGCCAAATTAGTGATGTCCCATCTGTAATTCTCCATAAACAACTGTCCTCGATCGAGCACCGTCATTTGGAACTATAACACCGTAAATGCATTTGTTCGGGGTTTAGTTTTTTTCCTTTACTCTTCATATTCCCCATGTTTTTTAAGCGTGATTATTGTAAAACGGTCAGAGATAACATACAATTTTGCACTTTGTGCAGAGGGGAGATAGTTGTTGGCCCTTGTTGAAAAGTTAATATGATGAGAAAATGCTTTAAGAGAAAAACAGTATTGTTTTTTGTGGGTGAAAGTCACCACCGATTTCAGACAAGAATGAGATCAGGATCAACCTGCTCACTCACTTTCTGTTCAAATAAATCTATTCCCAAGAAAGCTTTCACGATTTATTTTATAATAGCCACTGTGTGCAAAAGGTAATTTCATAATTTGTCCCTGGTCCAAGCACTTGGTCTCTATCTCCACCGCAGAAAACGACTCTAACTGGAAATTTGGCAATCCCGATGCATAAAACAGTTAATTATTTTCAGTCGATTGCGCAAATATTCTTCATTAGTTCACCATCCTCTGCCGACTTTTTTCATTGGTGTGTGTGGAAATGATGAAACTAGTGAAATCACCTTTCCGTTCCTTCTAGATTTGGGTTAAATTATATGAATTCCTTCAATCATGATTGATGCAGTTATGATTAAATGATTGGTATCAAACTTGAATGATCGAGATATGGATTGAAATAACCTCGAACTTTATAGGGGAGGTTTCTTCTGTCCAAAGTATGAATCGGTTTAGCCANGATGTTTCATGTGCAAAACAAACTCTGTCTTATTTTTCCACACTAAAATAAAGTAACGTTGGTATGGTAAAGACGTAGCTCATACGCATTACTTATGTTCTTACTAAATTGATTAATCTTTGAAAATTTGTTAAAGTGATGTGAAACGAGATGAACTCTGCCCTAGGAAATTGATGAAAGTAAACACAGGATAACTGAGCGTACCAGCTCTAATTATTCGAGACTAAAACATAAGGCTGAAGCATGCTTTCAGTTAAGATTTTGAGCGTCTGAACTCCGTAAGTGTTCTTATTTTAAGGATGGATTGTCTTTAATTTGCAGGCCGTATGGAATACCTGATAACACGCATAAGCCATCCTGGGAGGTAGACCCCAGATATTTTCATTGGGGTTCAAATCCAGAAAGTGCAGTAGCCAAACTAATATCCCGATGTTCCAGTGAAGTACTTGCTTCATAGAAAGACGAGCTGTAAGTATAGTTGTGTAATTGTGTTGGATAAATCGGTTCCCGGACGATTTCCTGGAACCGTGAGGCGAACAAAACTGTCCAGGGCTTTCACATAAGACGCAGTTGTCTGATTTGCTTCGAGAATTGACAGTTGAAATTCTTGCACCCAGTAAACGATTCCCCCGATAGGCTCATCGGTTGAATCTCACCTTGATCTTACAAAACTCATGCCAGTGGCACAAGAGTCTATTAGAGCCTTTGGTACTCAAAATTTTCTTGTCGCTGAAATTCCCATCGTTTCATTAGGTAGCCCAGTTCATGTGACCTATAAGTCACACAATACGTTTATCGATATGGCGATCTTTTACTCATGGATCAGGTTTTAGCTTCATGAACAGTGTGTATGGGGGCCGCACACTCGCACCCATGTGTAATGATAGCTGCATGTAGGAGACTTATGATTTGATCAGATATCATTCGTGGAAATCAACGTTAACTCCTAGAGACCTACCGAAAGGTTGCAAACAACGAATATTGATGCACAGTAGGTTCTAGGCAAACATTGTTCCATGTTCTAGTTCAGAGGACGTGAACTGCTTGAAATTCATCGATTTCGTCGAAAAAATTACGAGACGTGAATCGCAATGAGTGTTGAACGACTGTAAATTACCCAGCAAGTCAGGGACGTTTAAAACACTCAACACACATGGAGAGTTACGGTGTGCACTTTGATAGTAGCCTTAATTTGAGGGTCAATACCCGTTTCGTAGTCTCCGGAAAGTAATTTCCAGAGTAAAGCAGTTTATTGGGGTGATCATACAAACCATCTGCTCTTTCTGTACGGTCGTGAATTGCGTCCTATTAATACCGAGGTTGATTTCCTTCAGTGTTTTGGTCTAGAGGTGTTCACACAGAATTGTGTGATTGGCAGCGAAAGTTCAATCACTGGAGCGTGTAACACTCACATTTCTACAGTCGATCGCTGTTTCCTGTAGCCCTCCACATAAGAACGCATGTACGTCGTGGTGATGCTCAACCACGGTGCATTGGCATCCATTTTTTCGGTGCTTCATCATTTAATTTTGTCACTTGCTTGCGTACTACTCACGAGTAGTCATCATAAAGGCTGAAATGCAGGCGACAAATTTGGAATATAGCTTACTCGAAGTCGAATATTGCCTGATATCCAGGCGCCGGGTGGATAAACAAAATAATTTTCTTCGGTTGTCGCTTACCAATCACCGTATTCACTACATTCTTGGTCTACCGAAATGCTATCTTTGAATTATAAAAATGCGAAAGATTTAGAATAACATGATGGCGTTTTTTAAAGGAGCGTATCCATCATCAACATGGGTTCGGAAAACTAGCTGGTACAACTCCCGAAAGTGTTTCAAAATCATTTGCAAGCCATCTGATTTTTCAGATTAATTCTAATGAAAATTTGAATCTCTAAAGGAAGCTGCGCTTCGATTGAATTCAAATTTTTTTCGACCAAAAAAATTCACAATCACCAACTAATCTTTCTAACATTCGAGATCCGTTCTTTTTAAAAATTTAGATTCTGTAATCAATTAGGTTTTACACGAAAGAAGATGGATAGTGAAACCATTTCACAGGTAAATTACTACTGGTACTTCTAACCTTACACATTACTAAAGCTCTTTTGTGATCCCGTAGTTAGAGAATGCTAGTTGAACTTGAACCCAAATGCCACCAAAAAGTTCTAATGCGGTTTATGGTTCTGTAAGATAATACCGTAAAACCTTTTTATTTACATATTTCTATTCCTTTTGTATTCAGGAACACCATGTACTAATCTTATTACTCATAGAAACCGGATCTAATATTGCTTACAGAAAGCCAAAAATTAAGGACTGGATAAATACTTATCTTTCCAGTCTTTTTCGGTTGTACGAGTGTGATCGCCACCGCTAGATCCCAAATTCCAGCCCAGGGTGATGCAAAGAAGAAAAATGACGGCATCAGAAATTAACCATAATCTGTCTTTCAAAATGACTTTCACAGTCGCTGATTACTACCGACAATTTATTCATATTCACAGAAATTCGCTCGAATAGTCGCACAGAACGCCACCGAACTGGCTGAGAGCAAAGAGAAGTTGCTGAGTCAGCACACGGATGAGTTGCATAGAGAACGCTTGTCAAACAGTGAAGCGTTCGAGAAAGGTTTACAATGTACTTCTCAAATTCTGACTGAGCTAGTGAAAGAATCATCTGTGCTTTTGGAGAATTGGTCGTCACGTTTTAACGAGAACGGAACATCAGAAACCACTCTTGGAGAAAGGTAAAAAAATTATTTGATACCGTCAGTTGTGTATATACAAAGATGTAATGCAGAAACATATTCGGATTCAAAATTTACTCAATTGAATAAAATTTAAGCCAGCTCTTTGATTTTGCTTATGTGTAAAGTTACAGCCTCTCAAGGAATATGTGACTTGAAAAGATTTGTAAGTCTTTTCAATACTCTGGTTTAGAATACAAAATAATGTGGCTAAAGGCTTTCCTCTGTTGGCTGCGAAGCATTCGTCACAATCACGCTGTGAACTAAGATGACAATAATACTAATTTCTGCACTAAGAAATTACTTCAGGGTAAATGTTTTGGTTAGACTCTGATTATAATCTATTGTTGATATATGGAAAAACTACTGGTTTTAACTGATTTTAACGAAACCAGTTGTGTAACGTCTTATCTGTAGGGCTGGACAAAGTTCTCTTTATGGGCGTTATCGGTTTCGCTTTTTTCACCAGTAATCAGGTAAGCACACCATTTGTAATTCTTGTGAGTTCTAAACCAGTCAATCAGAGCTTTGGATTTACCATTTCCTGCCATAGGTGCAAGAATAACATAAAGTCTGTCATAAAATTAGTGCCAGATCTCCGATGTATTTGATTTATTTGACAGTACAAATGATATTTACAGAATGAACTGATCTCCCACGAACCCAGTGCTTTATTTTCCGTACAACCGCAAAACAAATTAACATGAAACTTTAAACATGGACTCCTCGAGAGCAACCTACTCAAAAAAAGCCACCGCTTTGATTAGCATGGCTGTAACGATTGATCTGAAGATTCAGAAAATTCAAGATATATCATAGGAGGATAACTTAGAAATGCCAGCACATCCATTTCAAATACGTTGTACTGCTGTGATTCCGTACCTGGCGGACATAAAAAGGAAGATTGCATTGAGAAAACAAAAATAGAGGGGCTCTGGTTTCTAAGATCTTCGACTGCACACAGTGCGTATCTGGAACGTTGTGTTAACAAAGGGATTCTTTGAAATAAGAAGACAGTAAACTTTGTGGTGTGCGGAGCAAACAAAGCGTAAACCAAGAAGCTGGGACGCTCTGGACATATGTTTCCACCCCAATGGATTTCACTAGCAATGCGAATCCGACGATCTAACTGAGGACAGAATCCTGAGCCTCACGAGTATACCTCAATTATTCTATCCGATTCTCCGAGTAGTTGATCGGGTAGCTTTGAATTTCGTTCCAGCACGATCTAACACAAATCATTTAGCAACACCCAATCAAGTCGAATAAGCTGTCTAGAGCTTTATCACTTGTCCGTGCACGAGTCTTTTGCTCTTTACATGACAAAATCTGCTATGTAATCAAATGAAATCCTCCACTACTCTCAAAAAAGAGATTTTTAAACGAACAGAAAAATTTAATAAATCTATCTTTGCCGTCTGGCTGAGATCAGGCTAAGATTTTCTATGCAGCGAGGCCTCATTTACTGTAAACTTCTAAGCGATTCGCCGGTTTATGAGTGAAGGATAAAGAGCCCAAATCTGCCCTTCCTTCCTGTCCACACTCATTTATGTTTCCATGGGATAACATACATTTGCCGCCTGAACAGGTGATTGTTCAAACGGACACGTGAACACTACCCTTCATGGGCGAACAGAGGAAGAGTGGGTTGTATCACTTTGTGAACTTAATAGAGGCATTCTGACCTCCTGTATAGAGTTCGTGATAGACTGTCAATGTAGATCCACTATCGGATGTTAGCGACAGCAGAAGTAGGAAAAACTGGCTTGCTCATTTCCCTTGATTACTTGAAACCAAATTGAGAAGGCACCTTATATGTTTTTGTGCATGTCGCACTCGGTCGAGAGATGCAATCAGTCCCCATAATGTACGATGTAAAATTCCCCTGATTAGGAATCTATTGTGATTTATTCGCATGATTATGGATAAGTGAAAACCAGGCTGTATGACAATCTCTTTTTTGCAACACGAGGTCATCGAATCTGCTCAAACAATTTAATTATCTGCTGGAGACCTGTTGTCCAAAAGATCAACTGCATGTTTCTAATTACCTTGGCAGGTTTATCGTACCCGAGAAAGAAGGTATCGAACATGTACTGGGCGGTAACGAATTACATTCCGAGAACCCGTCATTTAGAGCATTTGTTGCTCAGCTTCTGTTGATTTCAAGGGAAAAAATGCGACAACTCGTCTGTTTGATCGACCATACTCTGACCGAAGCGAAGCAACATCTTGAAGAAAACAGAATTCAGTTGGAGCAGAAACGAGTTGAGGCGGAGAGCACTGTTCGACAGTTGGAGCACAAAGCTCAACTGGATTTGGAAAAGGCAGAACAACGGCATATAATAGTAAGCACAGTGAAGCCTTTGGATTTTATCCTGGTATTCAATTCAACTAATGTTAAAAATATTTTGCGTTTAATAGATTAACATTTTATTCACGGATAACTTTAAGTAGTGGTGTGAGAAAGTTATATTGATTTTGAGTGACCGGATCGGATTTTTATAACAAGGTACAATCCTCAGTTCAGTCAATCAATCACACTCGGAAACCGGTAGAGTCGAATTACACGCTCGTTAGAGGTTATCGATGATAGATCTGTAACGGTTAGTCCGGGGTCAAAACCACGGCCTCGCTCTCTTGTTGAAAGTTAGTCACGTTAAAATTGTCCTTGAATTTCTATGAAGGCTGATTTAAATGAACTAATTAAGTCTGTTCAGTTGGACCTTTGAAAAACAGGTAGTGAGATCATGGAACCCAGCTCCAACGAGGGCAGAAAGACAGGGTTGACCCTCAGTTAACCGTAATCAAAGCCCCTCCATGAAGTTTGATATAATAAATAAATAAACGTGATTCATGTCTTTTTTTACTTCTTTTTTCATTTACTGAGTATACAAATTAAAAGCCACCTTTCAGGAAGAAAGCCGAGTCCAAATAAGAGCTGTCTGATTAAGTACAGAAATATGGAATAGAAATGTGGATGGACAGAGGTGGAGCCGTTTGAATCCGGGTATTCCAGATCACTATTTGGATGACTTTATCCACCTGACCACCCCTACCCGCCATTGTTATACAGAATTTACGTTCTCACTGCTCATGAATCTTTTAGTAGTATGAGAATGAATTTTTGGAAATTGGTTCTTCGTGGAATTCTAATATATCGCATACCACTAAATAACTCGGGGAGCAATATACTGCTATTTCAACTGGTTCGTTAGAATTCTGCAGCAGTTATGCCCAATTATTTTGTGGTGGCGCTAAACCGGGCGTTCAGGGTTTTGCATCCCCCAAGTGGTCATTAAACCTTTCAATGGGTGCTTCCAGATGATGGTTACAAGTCTGTACTTCTATACTCATTTTCTGTATTCCCCAAGCAGCCTGTGTATGGCCACGGACTCTTTCTGAAATTTTATTGTAAATTTATATACCCCGTAAACAAAAAGAAAGGAAAAAGAAATATTTACTTTGTGTTTCTTTAACAAAGATGAAAACGTACGAGGTTTGTCAGTATTTTATTTTTGATGTTTATGATGTGCATGGCATGAGATAGCGCACAAATAGCGTCCGTAGTGTTCTAGTGAAAAAGGCAATGGGGGTGCTGTTAATGAGCTCACAAAGAAGGGTTGATTGCCCTAGGAGATTACGCTCAAAATGAAGTAACCTACTATCAAAGAACTATGATTGTGGTTTAATTCAAAGGCGTATCTCTTGTTTTGAACCTAGTGATAACCATCGAAGAGACAAACGAGCGAAGTATGATCAGTTATTTTAGTAGTTAAACATGTTCACGATTTGCTCGTTGTCCCTCTCGGGAGGTTGTCAGACGATCGCCACCAAGTCACCGATGCTCACCACCGGTCTAAAGTCGTCGCTTTANTTGGAAAAAACACCAGAATTTCTAAGTTAACTTGTGAAAAGCTGATAAGACAAAGAGCTAATCGAGAAAACATGTTTGGTTTACCTTGAAAATAGGAGTGTGTGAATGCACAGATCAACGATATCGCAATGTAGCCAACGGATGAGTCACCGTGTGTTGCAGAGATTTATTATTGTCTGTGTTCAGCCCGCATTCTCACTCCACTTTGCTATCCATGAATGCCAGAAAATGGTAAGCTGTAAGTGGAAGGAAATGTACCTTCGGTGAATTCTTTTGCTTCTGATGGGAACATATTTGGTCAAATTTAAACAAATGAAATCATAAGGTTCTTTACTTTGCTCACTCTAAAAACTCGTACGCGTGCTTATGCGAGTAGATCTTCTGTATTTTTGTTTTCTGTTTCTACCGAGGCATAAATGAAAATCTTAAATAGTAGAGCCACATATTTGAAATCACTGAACACTATGCCTGTTCTGTCGAACGAGGTATGATGAAGCTCATCATTAAATAGCCTCAAAATCCAACCCGGGTCACAAGCTAATGGCAGTGAAAAAGATTGACCGGTTTATCTATGGGCGTGGCATTGATATACCTAATGCTTTACTGACAATCATACGAATTACTGCTTTTTTCGTAGTACTGATAGAAACGTAAAGCCGATCATCAAAGTAGTTAACTAGACTGTGAAGTGTAGCCCTATTCCATCACACTGGATGACAAGACACCATCGTTCACACGACCCTGTTACTGATGATATTCTTTCAAAAGATTTTTCGTAGAATCATACTTAGGTTCGCTGGAAGGAACACAACTGGTTGTAAATTGTGGGTGGGGAGCAATGCGGTTTTCTGCAAATCCTTTCTTTGTTTGACTAAATTCATTGCATAGAAGGAGAACGCACATCATCAACTGGTACGAAAACTCAGTCTTGTCTACATGACGCATATTTCCAACCAACTTCAGGTGGCGTAAATTAGACCACTGTTTACATTCGGATAACCATGATAATAGTTCACTTTGACGACGACTACATGATGTCATAGTTTACGATGATTCGATCACTATAAAAGGCGTAATGCTCTGTGTAGTCCTTCAGTCAACTACAGGCTGAAGTTAACTTTTCGCGGAATGGATGCATATTTCGTTGTGCGCACAAGTTCGAGTGATAGTTTTGATCACTTACACAACAACCTAACACATGAAAACTGCATTTGTGAATTTGTTTACAGGAATATCAAAAGAAACTGCAACAAATAAATGACAAATCGGGCGAGGCTCATCTGATCGCGCAGTTAAAGCGTAAAGATGAAGAGCTGGCTGAGCTCAGGGCACAATTGGATACATTGGAATCCCAAACGAGAGAAAAGGTGAAGGCGGAAATGCGTTTTGAACATGAAAAAGAGTTAGAAAGGTAGGCGTCAAAGTGCGATTTCGAAAAAGTCCTAAGATCGCTTCCCAAACAAATTTGTCGGCTGTTATTGTCCGATAGAGTGGTAACTGATTCATGTACATGTTTTTGCGTTGTGTTGTCTGTTTTGATTAGTGATTTTGGTTATTTATAGATCACTTAAATCACTTGTGTTGGAATAAATGCACTAATAAAAGAGATATGTTTACCTGTTGTTACCACTGGAATGAAATTATCGCGTAAACTTGTTGCCCAGAAAGATATAATATTTTCTGCGGGTTTTTTGGGTCCATTTCAGATTAACAACACTGTCGTTTCGTACCGCAATTCAACAAACTCAGTTGTATTGCTCGCAGTGATTGTATTCAAAAAGGGATGTGTAATACCCTTGAAGGCAACTATTTATTTATAGTGGTTGACTGACTTACCGCCCAATGTTCTCTTATAAAAGGCTCAAAAATTAACTTCGCAGTGCATCTCTGACATCGATATTTTTGCTCGGGTAATATCACATAATATCAGTGCGATATACGGCTCTTTTGTTCCGATGGAATAAAATCCTAGTGTATAGCATGCGAGTTCGATGTGTTCCTCGTTGCAATCATTCCTTCGTGCCACCAAACCTTCGCCTATTACTTAAAGCGTAGCAATATGCTTGTGATTTACTTCAATAGCGGGGCTCTTTGGTGCCACTGGAACCTATACATAGGCGCAGTTAAAACATAACATTTCTTAAATAACAGCTATTCTAACACACGGATCAACATAGCCCGAGCGTTCTCCGTGGTGAAAAGAACTTCGAGGCATATGAGTCACCGGTACTGATGCATTTAGTGTTCTTTCATTCGAGTTTCGCCAGCACTGCTCCAGTTTGGTTTTAAACCACTTTTCGAGCATAAAGCTTTCTGCCACGTCAAGTCATGTGGTTAGGGTCACCGATTGTCATAGCTCAACAGCAGGTTCTCGTGAATTTGGCACAGAACTTCATACTGTTAGTCAAACTGATAGGTGTTTAGAATAGCATGTTACTTTTAGTTGTTTTCTTTGACAGAATTTTCTTGTGGCACTGGAATAAATTGCCCTAGCGCTCCTCTCCAGTTTTTCCATAAACTATGAGAATTACCAGATGTCATAAAACTCCAAGTGAACCCAATCAAGAAATCACTAATAACTTCCAATTAACTTGTTTGGGCATCTTGATGCATATCGTTAGATGTTGCTTCGTCTCCCTGTCTGTCAGCCTGGTTGTAGAAATTAATTGAAGGCGGAGTAGAGTTCACTCAGAGAGGCTCAACCCACAAAACAAAACCGATCCAAAAAACTCCAGAGTTCCATCATTCAAAGCTCACAATATCTATTGGCTTGTCGAGTTTTTTTCGTGCGATTTGAAAATGTGCTGACGAATTTTTGCTTTATTAGCCTAAATCTATCCCGCATTATTTTCTTTTTCCTCTGAGGTCTTGATTATAATCTCCTTCGTGTTCACACCGTTTGATTGATTACTTAAAATCTGATTGATCAAATTTTACTTTACTCAAAGAGCATATAAAATATAATTGGTATTATTTTTATGAATGGGAACTCAGTTACCTTAGTTCACATTATTCGGAAACCCACAGTCAGTCTTTTCCTGATTCGTTCTATAATACATGTCACTATGTTTACTCTATCGCTTCCATTGTATTACTTACAGGGCTCGTAAAACAGGTCATCAAAAACTATAACCACGGTTGAAAAATAATCGGTAGTGCAGATTTGATTTCAGTTTATTCATTATGTACAATAGGTATTATCTGAGTACATCTCCTCGTGTATTAATTTTGTAAATAAGATTCTGAACGACCCGCTTTATCCAATGCACCTTGATTTACCCGCTTTTTGTTCCTATCTGTCCATACGCCTCTCCTTTTGGCATCTTCCCTCTGGTATTAACATTGACCAGGATTACCCTGTATCCTACCTGTCTTGATGTCTGACGAACAAGAAACACACTGCAACTGCACTAGGCCAGAATTAGATTGCATAATCCAAATTGNAAATTGGAGCGACATGTTGCACATTGCATTTTTTCCAATTTATATATATTATTCTGTGTTATGGAGGTGAATATGTTTAACTGAAATATAAGCATATAAAATTTCCAATGTCTTACAAATATAAAACGCAAATACAAACCTGCGGATCACAATAGTCATGGTCAGTCAAATAATGGCACTATTCTACCAAAATTTGAGACGTTAACAGTGGCCATTTTTTAAAGTTTTGAAGTTATACAAGCAGACAACGATACGGTTAAGGTTATTCGCTCATGGTGTGCACCAATACAGAACTTGTGGACCAAGGTTCGTGTGCGGAAGCGAGTACTCGAGGATGATGCCGACATATTTTAATAATTCATAGTACTTGTTCGCCCAGACAGTAATTTTCTCAAAACGCTATAGATGCCCATAGATTTTGGAAGGTTCCTGGCTAACTTGATTTACTGGCTGTGAGGTAGGATTCAAAATGAAGAGATATAATTTATAATTTCTCATTTTCAGTAAAATGTAAACTTTTTCATTCTTACTAAGTACAGGTATTGATCAAACTCATGCAACATGACTCTCGTTTTAATGTTATTGAAAACTTTTCTCTGTGTTAGAAACAGGGATAAGTTAGCTGCCTCGATACTGGTCACCGGTGGTTAGGGCGCGGTGTGTCTCAAAGGAAACTGGCAAGTTCTGCTGGATCATCAAATTGGTGAGCTTCATGCAAAAGCGGCTACCTCCAGTGTTCTAAAATGAAGAAGGGCAAACAGAACATGGACGAAATGAAAGTACAATACTTGTGTCAACTATATGGGTTTCTTTTATAAATGAATTCCAAGTATGTTTTCTAATGTGGCTTTATTATTTTACAACCTATGTCCCAGAAATCATCATCAAATCGAGAAATCCTACATTTTGATGGTGTTCAACCAATAGATATAGAGATAAATGAATGTTATATAATATATGTGGTCTCTGACTTGCAGTAATATCATATTCAATCTCATGAATGAGGCGTGGAAAACTAAGCTTTGAGAGTGACAAATGTGATGAAAGTCAGGGTGTTGCACGAGTTCGGTCAATACCTGTAAGTTGTCGTTTGCAATTAACATCGCGCTACCCAGCGGATGTCTTTGAATTTCAACTTTTATCATTCATTAGAATGTACACAGCAAAAATAATTTCATAGTAGCGTTTGTACCTCCTGTTTTGAGGATACAAGTAAATAGTCATTTTCGGAAAGGAGGTTCGATCTGAGAAAAGCCTGTGGAGATACAAATTGGGGAAATGAGTAGCGCTGATCGGACGTTTTAGAAAGATATTCAGTGAGGAATACGAAACGTTAGATTTCATGTGTGAACCCTCATGAGTAGATCAGAATTTCCTCTTCCATATTTAAGAAGATGCATATTATTTTTCATTCAAAGAGGGAACTAAAAAGTTAGCAATAAGGGTTGCCTAAAATAATGCCTGTCGTTTCAGGTATTAAAAGTAACTCAGTTTGATTTGATAAAAAATAACTTCAACACGTGAACACAACAGGGCGAATGAAATCACCTCGGGTTCTCAGTTATACCATTTTTTCACTGTACTTCAGATTATTTTATACATCACTATCTATTGCATTGGAATGTATTCGATGCTAAATGTTCATGCTTTGCTTTTGTGTCATGGTTGGTGCACCGGAAAATTTAGTTGTCCTGTTACTCAAGCACTTTAAAAAGCGGCTGCAGATTTGAAAAATTCACAATAGATTTAATTTACCGACCCCTAGCTTTCAACGAAGCCTTTGGTAAGTTGTCTTGTTCAGACAGAGTACTTTCCATGCTTCTTCTTCTAATGGTCGGTGGACATAAAGAAACGATTGAGGAACCAAGGATAACTTCATTCTACCTTCATCATGTTGTCGGATGGCTTAACTGAAACGCAGTCATGTCACTTAATTTTAGCTAGAAATTGAATGCATTCGTAGTAAGAATCTTCCAGTTATTTCGCGTTGTTCAGTTTTAGTGGCCACGTTTGGTGAGCGCAGATGATTACGGGATATTCGTTAGATTGGCAAAAGGGCAGTTTTGTGTAGGGGTTTATGTTGCTGCGTAACTACAAGAGATTCTATCCTTGAACAGTTTACGCTAAGCTTTGCTTGTCTCAGGTTTAGCGCTTTTACTGGAACTAAGATTAAATAGACTTTAAGTGGCACACCTGATCTATTTGTTCGTCGTTGACGAAGATGATGGTTTTGCAGGCGTCGTGAAGATCAGTCAGATTTCTATCTTCGATACAATGGTATTGATTTGAAAATCCATAAAAGTTCTGTTAAAAGTAACTTCAGAGATAAACCGGATTTCCTTATTCTGTCTCAGTTCGTACTGAACTGCAGCGATCTATCTTTAATAGTGATCACCAGTTTGACCTACGCATGTCACATCGCAAGTGGTGTCCGCAAAATGTGACTTCTACGGGATACCGCATCACATCAAGTATGACTGCGATGCTTCGATTTGGGTTGAAGTAACTGAATGGAAAATACCCTCATTTTGAATACGAATTTGCCAAAGGTCTATGCTTGATTGCGGACAATGTAACAGGCATAATTTGAACGAAGTCAAAGAAATGCTGTTTCCAGTGGTTTTCACATATTCCGAGTTCGTACAGGCTCTTTCAGTATGTCTTGTTCCTACTAAATGTACAGTGAATAAAAATAACTGTGAACACAAGGCATATGAAGGTTTCAGTTCATACGATACTTCCAAACAAAAGAGAGTGAAGAAACGTCAGAAAAACGGTTTTGGGTACCAACATTGTAAGAAAGTTGCTTGGCAAGGAAAGGAGAGATTAGCATGAGATATTATAACAGAGAATCCAAGCCTATGGCTTTTATGGAATAAACAAAAATAATTCTGCATCGTTTTCACTAGGGTAGGTGAAACGTGCTCTTGTACATTCCATGCAATGTGTTGTTTTAGTTGTCTTTCTCTAAGAAAATTCATCAAGTTGCAACATTTCACTACAACTGCTGGACGATAAAATGTACCACGACAACAAAGCCGTTTATGTCTGTAAACACTCATGGAGGATTCTTACATGCTTTCGTTCAGGCAACTGTGTGCTCGCCGTTGGTTGCGTTTTTGGGGAATAACGTTTCCGATGACCAACGCGCACGTTTGCTATTCAAGTTCTGGTAGGGCACAAATAATGCCATAATACTAATGAGTTGTCAAATAAAAGGAACATCTTGGTGACTTTAATTCAATGTTATAAAATTGTGTCGTGTATGATATACATACATGATATCTGTTAGAGTATGAGAGAATTGATGATTCAGATTTTTCGGTTAACAAAATGAATCGGTTCTGTGACTATTCAGTTGGGATGCGAGTTTGCCTCGTTTGTTATACGGATTCCTAACACACTCCCCCGATGTACGAACACCCCTCAAACATAGGGGATATATCTTCGCGTTTAAAGGGTTTATAAATATTATGACTGCCTGACACGAAATCAATTTTCCTTTAGAAAGGATAATAAAACTTATTTATTCCAAGTCTATTTGCTGCCTTACTCACAGTAAACTTCTGGAGTCCGCAAAATCAATACAGAATCACGATTGTCTCTCAGGTTCTGCCGCTACTCGCGTTGTCATCGATCTGAAAAATCGTGTACATCGGTTGCGTGAGGAGAACCTGTCACTACGTCGGCTGCTTCTACGACGTCTACCCCAAAAAGGATACACAGGAGTCCCAATTTTGGAGGTTTGTCGGTCATATGATGGTTTTCTCACATTTTTCTTTTCTTACAGAATTATAATTCATTATTATTGCATCGTTTGTTAAATTCTGAGGAAAAATGTCCAGCAGTAGTGAATCGAGACACATGTGAAATGACAAGTTTTGAGTTTTAAACATTACAAGAATTTATCACATTACTATTTATATCGAATCGCAAAATGTCCCTGGGGTGTTGCACCGCGTGTTTTTGCCGTCGGAAACAGTAGTGGAAAATTTTTCTCACTCAACAGTATAACAGCCATGTACTAGGTAGCCAGTGAAACAATTCATGACATTCTAATCACTGTTTTTCCACATAGTTTATAGTAGAGTTTATTTCGCTACTGTTATTATGCTGAATTGATTATCGATTTCCATTTTTATCTCACATTGAATGAATGTGCAAGTGTACACATACACCTGACGGCATAACGATTGCTGACTGATTGAACGACAACTAATTGAGCATTGAGGGTTTAGATGTTTTTACTTGCAAATTCAAAGTCAAAGTCAAAGTTTTATTGTGCTTCTCTTGTCCCACAGGATATTTACACAGATGAATTGTTACACATCGAAAAAGGAGTCACATAGAGTTCCGGGTAGGAAATAGAGAATGTAGGGTACAGTGGATTTCCGTTTGCTTTTAGTGGTGGACGAATGTGAGGTATGCCAAGGTTTCGTCGAGTCTCTGCTTGAAAGATTCAATAGTGGATGCACGAACGACATGAGATGGAGGGGCTTTCCAAGATCTGCATACTCTGACAGCAAAAGACTGATGCCGGCAATCCAGTCGACACTTGGGAATCAGTAGTTTGAAACGGTGTCTCCTTAGGTGTACGTTTTTTGATAACATGAACAGCGATCGACACGGATGGTTTGGGTTCTGCAGTACTTGATACGTCAGAATCAAGTCTCCTCGAGTTCG